CCGCATTCTGGCCCTGAGCCCCCGGTGTAGCCTACCCAGTGTATAAACCCCGAAGCTCCAAAAAGAAACACGATGCCTAACTGACTTAATTGTGAGTTGTTCAACGCATTGAACTCTATAGACACGTTTAGGAACCATGTGATCTCCAGATATTTGTGGCTCGCATCTCAGGACGTGAAGAGGCACTGCCTGGCCAGCGATAGCCCGCTGCATTGCTTGGGCCTGGGCCTTTGGGGCCTTCCGGGCCTGCAGGGCCGAGCTATCCTTGGAGAGACAAAAATGAAGGCCTTGGTGGGAACCCCTGAAGGGCCCTTCAAAGTCATGAGTCTCCACTAAACCCAACACCCTATGAATTCACCGGGGGTGATGAATCCGGAGTTCCCAATTTATTTTGGTGATAGCCCTTTTCCCCATCCCAGTCTATGAAGCGGCCAGGTTCTCACCCTTTGCCCCCCTAGGTTCTCAGGATCTGTCCGGGGTTGGTTTCCCAAGGCCAAAGCAAACCAAGAGGGGATGCAGATGGATGCAAAGAATGACCCCATTGCAGGAAGTTAGCCAAGTATCTATTTGGTGGGTATGTGGCAGACTTCTTGTAGAAATTCCTGTTGCCGACTTCTTAGATAAGGAGGGCTGGCGAAGCAGTTGTAAATCCAGGAGGTCAGCTAGGTGGCGGGGGACCTTTGAACCTTTGTCAAGCTCATATGACGCATAGGCTAGCATAGGGAACCTTCAGAACAGATTGGGTTCCCTCTTGGATTTCCTTTTAACTCCATCCAATACAGGGCAAAAGCATTCCGCACCCAAATCACATCTTGTTGTTTACCCCGGTTTATGAATTGCCCATTTGTCGCCCTACTTGTTGGCCTTTGGCCCTAATCTCATCTTAATCCCGGGATTTAGTTATACCTGCCGGACTTCAAATGAGACACCCCCATACGGGTGTGGCTCAAATTGAACAGGAGGGGTTACGCAGGTATGTCCATGTTTCCACTTACCAGGGTTCCATTTTGGTACCGATTTTTTGAGCCACAGCCATATGAAGCACCCAAGGCTTGATTTGCCCTGGCCTTCCATTGTCAGACGCGTGGTGCAGTCGCACCCCTTTGGTACTTTCTGTGTGCTGGGCTCCCGACAAAAGATGGTCAAGCCCAAAACAAGGCAGAAAAAAAGAAGAAACAAAAAACATGGTCAACCCACAAAAAATGGTCAACCCACTACAAACAGCCAACCCACTGGAAATGGTCAACCCACTAAAAATGGTCAACATACTTTTGAAGGCCTGGTTGCACCTCGGCCTTGCGCGTTCAGGTCTCCATGCGCCGCACCTCTCCTCCAGTTGCGTGGCGGAGGTCCAGCATTCCGTGCGCGGGCGCCCAGCTCGATCCCGGGTTTGGCATTGACAGGGACGCCGGGGAAACCCAGTTAAAATTCGTCACCACCAGACCGCAGGTTTAGCCCATGTGTCCATTAAAGTACCACTTTGGGTACCTACTTTTGACCCAGCCATATTCAACTTGGCGAAAGATGACCAGGCGAATCAACAGGAGTGATCATTTCGCACATGTTCACCTGGGACCGTGGATCTATGACAGAAGGCTCGGAGCATCTACTTATTGTACTAAGCTCAATCGAGTTCAAGGAATTCATATCGATGTTTGGGTTTTGGTTATTAAGGTTGCAACCTTGCTCTGGGCGCTGTGCTCTTGCTTTTTAGCTCAAGCCATACATGATGAGACAAGGGCTGGAGAGAGGCAATCTGCACGATCCTTCCTTGGCTTTGAAAGATGTACATTGGGTTTCACATGAGCTACATGAGATGGTCCTAGAGGTTGTTGGGGTCGTCACCTCCTTTTCGCGCGAGCAGGGGTGTTGTGTGAATTTGAATTGACCAACCCTCCATGTTGAACAGCCCAGCCAAGTTGCCTGTGGCCCTGCAACCCTTCAGGGCTTCGGCATATGCAAAGCACTCTGGACGACACCTGCAAAGCATCCAGGGCTCATGGTTTAAAGCCATGAAGCACGGGGGGCTATGTTCTGATTGATACACATCCTTAAGCAGTGGGGGGTATCGGGAAATAGTAGGGGTACCTACGAACACTTGCAGTCTGAGCACTTCACACGATCATCTCCACATCCTCCAAAGCCCATGTGCTTTGGTTTGCCCATTCCCTTGACCACACCGGAATCACAGGCAATCTGCAAATCCTAATCTAGCCACAAAAGCGCCCGCCGGAATCGCGCTCGCTTGGCAAGAGCTGTTGTCTATCTTCCTGCAGGTTTCTCTGATTGAGCTGCCCCCGACCGACGTTAGGCCCTTTGGATGCAGCGGAGAGATCCATCGGCATTGCAACCACGGGCCACGGGAAGGCCCGTCCGACCGGTTCCTGAGCTGAAGTTATTTTGCACAGTTTTCGGGACTGGAAATGGAATGGCCCCACCAAAACCGTTCGTGAAAGTCAGCATTTTGAGAGATTCTTAAGATTACCTGAGGTTGCTTCCCTTTCAGCCACCATGAGAGAAATTTGAGGATGGGACTTTCGTGGACTCAGTAGAACTTGCTTCTGGCTTCAAGTCTTTGTGGAAGATCAATCACTGAAAACAAGTGCCTGGACTTGAAGAGGCTCATCCACTCAGCTCCGGAGAAGGAGGTTTTCGGTGAGCTGGTGAGAAGAATCCACCTCGTTTGGAGCTTCTTGATGCCTGACCTGGTCATGTTCTGGTTCTGTTGTTGGCGCCATATAGGGCACATTCGGCAAAAAAGCCTCTATGTACGTCCCACCAGTTTGGCTAACGAGTGAGTTTCCCGGCATTGTTTCCATCTTTTTGGGGCGGAACCGGGTTTTCACCATTGCTGGCTGTACCAGCGAAACCAAAACTGGATTCTTGGTTCAGAGCATGCCGAATTTGAGTTGTGTGGGCTGTCCCATGGAGGTGCCCCTGATAACCGTACAGGATAGCCTTTGGTGACTATGTCTTTGCATAACTACATCAACATTTATATCCTTGTGACAAGAAGAGAGTGAATGCAACCAGTTGATGTTCCAAGAGATCATATGGAGGAGAAAAGCACCACATATGGCTGTAGTATGTTCGCCATCTCTTTGGCCAACACATTCTTGAGCGGATTCTTTGGGATCATGGACAAGTGAAAGTGTTCTGACCATAGGTGTCCTTTTTGGTTGGTTTGCTTAACAAAAATACAGGGGCCCTGGTTTAGATGGGGGTTCTTCCATTTACCAGGAAAACAAAACCATCCATTTTTCTCCAACAGGCCACCTCTGGTTCTGACTTCAACCATCGGGCTGGCAGTGCAGCACGAAGCGGCACGAAGCGGCCAGGGCTCCTGCACTGCCTAGAGGAGCTGGGCGTGCACTTGGGCTCTCAATGCGCGGGGGCGCCTGGCCGCTGTGTCGCAGGTTGGGGAAGGCGGGTGCCCGGTGAGGCGAGACTTGGCCTAGAGTTGTCAAAAAGGAGGCGTCCCTACACCAGAAGCACCAGATTTGAATTTAGACGACACCTGTTCCCCGATCTTCACGGTTGTCCCTGATCGCTCAGAAGACGTTTCTTCTCTTGCGAAACAGACCCCTTGCTCTCCTTCAAAGTTTGGCACTTCAAGATTGGTGAAGCAACCCTTCTGTCCTTTACCCATCAACTCTTCTTTCCATAAACAGTTCCTTCACCAAACAAAGGTTTCTGGGGACCCACGGCTTCACCCCCATCCGGCCCATCCAGCCGTGGCGCTCCTCAGCTGAACGCGCGCGCGCGCGCGAACGCGCGGCGTTGTGTGGCGATCCTTGGCTCCAGGCCGACGCTGTGGTGGCGGCGCGCCAGGCCTTGGCCTCCATCCACGGCTCGGAGCAGCGGGCGGGGCGGCTGAGACCTGGGGGTCTGGGAGGTTGGGGGGGGCGGGGGGCGGGGCTGGGGGTCTGGGTCTGGGGGGGGGTTGGGATTTGGGGCAGAGGGGAGTGTGGGGGGGAGGTCCAGGGAGAATTTGGGTGGATGCCCTAAGATTCCTTGTGATGTCCAGTCTCACTTGGTTGGACTTGAGTTGGTTTGGAGCATTGGCAAGTTGTTGGACTTGTTTGAGCCAATGTCAGGAAGTGAGAGGGGGACTGGTAAGGAGGAGTAGCCCGTCTGAGAAGCTCGGAAGGTTAGTGGCGCTTGTTGTGTTTCAGTTTACATATTTGAGACCTGTTGAGGAGTCCTCAAAGTAGCCTCCAAACGCCAGGAATGGCTCAACGCGCCGCCATTTGCGCTTTTGACCCTCAAAAAGACACCCCCCCATACGGTCCTTTCTTGACATGTTCCAAACCTAGGGACTTATTGTTTGGAATGAGCATGACAAGGATTTTGACTGCCACCAGCAGACTCAGAAGTCGTGCCACTTGAGTAGCGCTCCAGAAAGATTTCCCACCTTGTCTGGTAAGTCTAAGAAGGTGGCTTAAGCTGGTTGGGGTGATTTGGGGTATTGTCAGAGGGCAACTTGACATAAGGGATGCCTCCAGTTTCGGGCCCAAGTGCAACGAGCCTTCAGTCAAGGTCTCCAGAGTTGGACGGGATGGTTTTCGAGGCCTTCGCCCATGGTGAGTTTCATCATCCCTTGCCCAGGCTATGCCTTTCGCAAGCTTATGAAGTATAGTCCATTTGGGTGGCAACTTGCCATGACCCCCTCTCAGACGCCAAGACTTCCCTAGATCACCAGCATTGCCGCCATAGCGCCTGGTTCCTTGTCTTTGTGGGGAGCTCCGCAGGGCTCCGCTTTCATGCGGACCAGAGTGCCTCGCCCGGATTGATCTGTGGCTCTCAGCTTGGCTCCACTGATCATGCAGCTTTCAGTCGGCTGGCGGAAATTACAGCGCCGGCCCACGTCTCAGGAGTCTCATGCTAAGCATCGGAAGTGACGCAATCCCCAAACTCCCACAAACCAGACAGCAAAGACAGACCAAATTAGCAAAGCAACTGGACAGACATCTCACGGAACTCAAGGAATCTAGCAGCAGCTCGCCGTTTTTCGTGGCTTTTCTGGCCCTCGCAGCTCGCCGTTCATGCAGTTTGTACCGGGCCCAGAGGTTCGATGCACTCGCATGAGTTCTCCGATGTGGGATGCGAGGGAGACAAGGGAAGCCTACTCCTCGGCGGTTCGGTTCCAAGCAGCAGCAGGCCCCAGGGTTGCAAGTTGCGCAGAGACCGTGGCTGGCCGAGTTTGTAAGCACACCAAACACAAGGAGGGCTTACCGCTCTCAAGACGCGCCTTTTGTTTTGGAAAATGTGTGTGTTTTTTGTCAAAGGAAAGCCGTAGTGGATTTTGTGGGCTTCCTTTTCGAGGCAACTCCTTTGGCTTTTTCGGTGGCCGGAAGATCAGGTTTAGGCGAGAGTCTCTCACGGGACTCGAGCATCCCAGGCTCAGGCATTCTGGTCCTGGGCAGTATTCGACCCCAGCTGCGAGCAAGAGCAATCAGGACGTGCCAAATTTTGGGATGAGAGTCAAAAAGTAGCGACGCCTTGGGTGACCAAGCTTTTTTTTGTAAGGGTGCCTAGTTGTTGACTGAGGTTAGCTTTCCCACGTGGATGAGGGTTGTTGGTAAAAGATCCTTCGTTGAAAATTGTTTGCCGTTTCTTGGCATGGTGTCCACCCGTCGCGCTTGCCAAGAGGGACCGGGGCACTCCCAACATGTCACTGATACCGAACATTTGTAGGTTTTGGGCTCCTAATTCTGTCCGATTCACAATGCCTGCAAGCGCACTTGCGAACACGATATCACATGTGGTAGAATCCATGAACATCCACGCCCATGTGAGAAAGTATATTCTCTTTTACTCCAGCAGTTAAACGTATGTGTTTTGGGACGCCTGTGACACTCGTGTTCAACAATGTCAGCTCGGTTTAAAGGGTTGATTGATAGTGGTTGCTTTCATACTTAGTTACCTACTTTGACCCATTGGCATTATGTATATAGTCTCACTTACTGTGTGAGTCACGGATCGTTCCCAGGTAAACCTGAGGTCTCTGCGAACCCCCCTGGTTTGTATTGGGCACAGTCCCAACCCAAAGATTACGTGGGGCAGCTGGACCACTCCCTCAATCCCTGGTGCTTTTTGGAATCTTCCTGGTGTTTTAGTTTTTTTTGTTGCCACACGTCACTTGGCTATGAATTGCAATGAGACATCCCTCACACATGGCTGGTGGACACACACCACAAATGACGTCCACGAATGGGTCCCCGCTCAAAAACAAGACCCAAATTATCGGTCGTCTGGTTGATTTGGGGAGGGCGGAGGCCAGGTTTGTTTGTGGGCTATCAAAATGTAGCAAGCTCCGGGTGCCCTTTGCCAGAGATTTGCTCTGTTGCAAACAGCAACTGACTTGGTCTTCCTTTTGGACTCCTAGGCTTGTGAGTTTGATCCAGTTTTTCAGTGGTTCCAAAGTTCGTTTTGGGGCCTTTCCCCACTCAGGGAGCGTTGGTAAACGGCCCAACCCTGGCAATCTTGGCCCCAACACACCCTGAAGGAGACTGAGCCTTGCGAAGCCAAGAACTCCGGCACGTCTCGGTCAAGCAGTTGTTCTCGCGCTCGCCCTCTTCTGCACCATGCTGTTTGCAGAGCCTCGATCTGCAAACTCAAGCGCAAGCGAAGCGACCCGATCCGACCTTTTGATTTCTCTGATTAGGCAACCATGTTTAGTCATGGCCACAAAAGGTTTAGCGGTTGTTTCTGGGTGCTTTGAGCAACTGAGTAAGTGTTATATCAATTCCAAACCTGAAATAACGGAAGCCCAAGTACTGACCCGCATGGTGAGGTCGTTTTACCCACAGATGAGCTCTCCAGAGGCAGACTCGATCCTGAGTCAGGGGGTGCTTTTTCACATCCACCCTCGTTTTGACTGAAGATACAAGGGGGACTTGAAGTGAGGGATCCGGGACAGCTTGCGTCAGGACATAAACCCGACAGTGGCCGAGCACATCTCCGAAAATGTGAAGCAACTGGAGATGCAGATCAGTCAGACGGCTGAAGCGACCTCACACGTATCCGAAAGCACCACTTCGAGCGCAAAGACATTTTTCGCTCCCCTTCTTGACAGGCTTGCCGAGATCAAGGTAGATAGTGACACGGAGGATGAGTATTGGGTGTTTGGCTCTCTTCCATTTATTGGACCTGTACGTATTCTCCGCAAGGAGACCTCAACCGTAAATGTCATCCTTTGCGGTTTGTTCGCTGGCTTTTTGGTGGAGTTCACCAATGCGCTCACACTTCATCCGCTGGATACTTTGAAGACCAGGCTGCAGAGAGGCTCGTTGAATCAAGGCCAGGGTTTGTCGGTCTGTCGAATCACGCACATGATACTGGACATGATACGTTCTTGTTTTGGACCGTTTTAGATGCAAAAGGTTTGACTTGGAAGGTTGGCCAACGCTTGATTTTGCACATCCCACAAAGTTTCCTTTCAGGCTTGCAGCCGCTAGGCTAGAGTCAATGCTTTACTTGGTGCGAAGATTGGAACTAGAACCAAGTTGTAGAATGCATGTTGTGTAGGGGCCCTGTTACGGTCTACACCTTTGTTTGCTTCCCGTTTCAGTCACCAGTTTCTTTTGCTTCGCAGCCCCAGTTGCCCAGTGGTGCCCATTTTTCTCGATTTTTTGAGAAGGGTTCCCCTTTAAAGTCAACCAACCAAAACAAATCGGATGCCGATCCTTTGTTCCCATGGAAATCCACTGGGCATCTGAGCAGCAGTTTCCTCGGAACCGCTTCGCAGGTTTAGTCGCCCCAGACCCCAAGCTGCTCTACGAGCGGCTCTACGATGGACTCTTCCCGGTACTTGCGACGGTGCCGGCCTTGTCCATCTTCTGGGCGGTCAAGGAGGGGTCTGAGAACTGGGCCCAACAGAAACAAAAAACATCCGAAGCAACTCCAAGCCTTCAAGCGGAAGGGAAAACATGGGTCCCACTTTTGACGCAGACTGACCCCTCCAGAGACTCTGAAATGATATGTTGAAGAGGGCGGCAGGGGGATAATTCCAAGTAAAGTGAATGCTATAGAAGTAGACATACAAATGAGGAAAAAACAGACAAGACATATTAAGAGATAGGATACGATAAATATAAAGGGACATTAAGATAGCGAGAAACAATACGCCATGAAAATGCAACAAAATGACAACAATAAGAGATAAAGATATTGAACGGTTAGTTGGCTTGTTGTCTGGTTTTATCTTTCCGAATGATTGGTTTAGTGCATCCATAGAACCCTGAAGCACGAGTCCGACCTTAGGGACGAGCCACATGACCTGCCCACGTACCCACTTCTCCCTTTCATCCCAATCATGAACCCAGCCCAGATTCAAAAAAATGACAAGGAATACGATAGCTTCATCTGGATTCTTATGACTTCATATTTATCTTTCTATCTCAGTTTGGTCGATAGGTCCAGATAGGGTTCCGTTGCTCTTGGGGATACCACCTGTGCCTGTTGCTGTTCTTTTGGTTGCCCAGAGCTTCAGTTGCCCTGGATGCTGCCACAGCAACACAAAGAGCAGTACCAACAACTATGCCTCCAGAGAACGCTTGGCTTTCCGGTCTTCCCTCTCACCGGAGATTCGAATCTGCCCTCTCGACCCCTCTGGACCCTTCGCGGCAAAAACGGTCAACCATCCGTCGAGTTCTTTTGCGCTGTATGCAGTACTCATCTTAGCCAAGTCCTATAAGTGTCGCATTCATCACAGAACTCAATCATTCCTACGCTCCGGCGGTGTTTTTGTGGATCAATTGACCCCAACCCAGGTCGCTCCCGGCCAAAAAGAAGCAATTCACTACGAATTTGCGGGATTCGATTCTGCCCTCTTGACCCGAACCCCAACCCCTCCCGGCCAAAAAGAAAGAATTCAACACGAATTTCCGGCGATTCGATTCTGCCCTCTTGACCCCAACCCCTCCCCCTCTTAAAGGAAAAGAAGCAAACCGGTCCAGAGGGGTCAAGAGGGCAGAATCGAGTCGCCGGTGAGAGGGAACACCGGAAGCTGAAAGTCCAAGGGCGGAACATAGGGAGGACACAAACTACCTGGAGTCTCCGTGACCCTTTACCAAGATTTTGGGTAATGAGCCCATTTTTAAGGGGTCAGAAGGAGACTCCAGGTAGTTCTCACCTATAGCCTCCGCGGCAAGCCCCAAGCGCATCCGGCGCATCCGGCCTCGGAGGACATCGTGCGGCGGAGTTTGATCGGCTTCGTGAAGGGCCAGCTGCCGTCGCCGCTGGCGGACGTGCTGAGCTCCACCTTCGCCTCCGCCTGCGGGGAGGCGGTGTACGTGGCGGTGAAAACCCCCGGGGAGGCGCGGGGAGAAGTTGGGAGAAGTTGGGGGGGGAGTACGGCTTTGGGTTGTTTGGGGTTTCGGAAAAGCCCAAGAAAAGTGATCTGGATCCTGACAGCAGATTGTAACCCAGTTAGCTTGCCAAGCTGGGGCTCATTGATCGACTCAGTTCCAATTCTCAAATGGCCACAGCGCCTAAATTGGTAGGTTTCAAGAGTAGGCGTTTGGCTCATGGCCTTCCCGCGGCGCGCCTGTCACGCCCCGGCCTGCCAACAAAGCCATGACACACCCGCCCGCGTTACCGAAGACACTGGATGACTTTGCCTGCTTTCGTGTTTGGTTTGTGCTACAGTCTGATGGGACCCCTGATGTTCATCTCGCTGTGGTACAAGGGCAAGATGACCTCCTGTCGTGGCCTGCTGTCATGCCCAAGCCTGGCACAACAATCAGGGTGTCTCTTCCTGGTCTCTGGACCACGGGTTTATATGATCACTCAGGTGATTCTTGCCTGTGCATATTCAAGTGCTTCGCTTGTGCGGGTGGTCCAGCCCTCTGGAAACCAACCTCGGATGCTTTCGTGTCAGCCGTGCCTCCGGGAACTCCTTGCAAAGCGGTCAAGCACGCGTTTTTTTTGTGGAGCTTTTGCTGGTTGGTCACACGCAGTACACCTCTTGCAGAAGCAGAGTGTCCAAATCAGGACCGTTGCAGCCCTGGACTTGGAGGAACCCACCATCAAAAGCTATTGTGTCTCATTTGGACCCACATGCTTTTCGCCGGGCACACCTGTGGGCTCATTCCTGCATCTACATGTTGTTCCGCCCTTTGCTTGGCATGCTGGCATAAGTGATAGATATCGGCAGCATGCATTCTCGCCATTGCAGTGTGATCTCTGGCCTGTCAATTGCCCTTGTGTTTCTTGGAGTCCATCGGGACGAAAGCAAGGATTGCATAGTGAAGGTGGCCGTGTATTGATCTGTACCACTGCCAATGCGGCTATGTCCAGACCGCTAGCCATCTGCTGTGAACAAGGGGCAGAATTCCAGTCGCACCCGGATTGCGAAGTTGTTGCCGACCTCTGGCAGCAAGCTGGCTTTCGTATAAACAGAGAAGGAGTGTTCGACCTCCAGGAGGTTGGTCCTGTCAGGAGGAGACGCTATCTCTCGGTCTTAGTGCGCAAAGTCCTGCCGTGTGCACCAGGGATCAATGTGATGAGCAAGTGGACTCCTTCACGCCTGCTTCTGAAGGTGCCATGATTGAGTTGCCAGCAAGCTTGGAGAACGAACTTTTCCCAGGCCGGATGTTCTTAAGTTGTACTGGAACCCGGAGTTACTGCCAAGAACAACAAGCGTAAAAGGAGCTGACCCAATGCTGATTAAGTGAGGCTCAGCAGACCAAATCGCACACTGGCTTTGCACCCGGTGATGTAACGCGTGGTTTTGTCGTGTGTTAACCCAGCCATTCCCTTGACGCCAAGCGGCGCACTCTTGGCCCCCAATTGGACCAAGCAGGTGCCTTTTCCTCGGGGCAAATAGCTGCCCTGGGGCAGTTAATGCATATCTGCAGCCAACTCAGTTTGGTCTTAATAACAGACCCTGAGGCTATGCTTATGGCACTGCCTTCTCAATATGTCGCAGTCTATGTTTGACTTCGACCTTGTAGTATTGGGTTTTGCCTCTTCCTCGCGCATCTGTCGCTTGAGGGTTGACAGTGCGGACTGTCCGTCTTTGCTTCGGCGGGGGGCGGGCAGTGAAGTCTGTTTGTGCTACTCGAAATTCATGATCACCCCCAACTACTCAAGCAAACCCTAAGAGACCAAGACCTCCCGCCCCGAAAGGAAAAAAACGAGCTACAAGAACACCGCCATTGCGTGTAACCAGCCTGCGGCATGTAAAGTAGACCAAGCTTCATTGGGCAGTGCTCTAGAGCGCGGGCGTTCTGCTTGATGTCCTCCAAATAGGCTGCGGCCCAATAGGAGATCAAGGTTGGACAATCGAGCACATAATGATGATGATGGCGGTGTTGGTGATGATGATGAAGCATATTATAGTCGCAATGCTGTGTTGCCTTCTTATAAGTTTGTTTTGGAAACCATAGCAGCCCTACAGTGGAGGCAACAAACAAGAGGAGCCCGGGAACCCAAAAGCAAACCAGCCTCACTCCCCATGGCATGTGGATCCCGTTGTTTTCCGGCTCAAGGGTCCGAAGGCAAACCAAGATTTAAGTTGTTCACAGTTGGGAAATCAACCCCAAACAGATGAAGAAGGGGAGCAACCGCGACTCAAGCACAGAGAAACAGGCAAAGGCACGGGTGAAACATGACAGGCCCCGCACTACATGGAAGGCACGAAGTCATCCGATTCATCATGAAGAACCAATCGCAGAAATCCGAAAATGGATCCGCACAAACTACCACTCTCAAATTGGAAACAAGGCATAAGCTCGCTCTACACCCATCTGAAACAAGTCTGAGACACAGTGTTACAACACGATCTGAGTAGACCGTGGTCAGCTGTTCGGATGTTCATGCGCCCTTTTGTTTGGGCCGAGTGTGCTCAGCATATTCATGTCAACGTGCTTCCAGGCTGCTTCCAAATAAGTAGGGCGAACCCCAAGAGGCCACAGACTCTGAAGAGAGGGTTCGTCCTAGAAACACATTGGCGCCATTTGTTCGGGTCAGGTGTGCGGCAAAAAGGACAATCTTGGCGCACCTGGAACGCCGGGCTGTTCACATGGAGCCGTGCACGTGGCCTTCACAAACTTGCTTCGTAAGCTTGCTTGGATTCGTTAGTTTCTCCACCTATTTTCCCATTCGCAACCAATTGCAACTGGTGACTTTGTGGAAAGGGCCGCGCACGTTGTCAATCGGATGCGTGTGGATGGCAAGTTGGGTGGATTCGCCGCAGGTGTGTGGAGACGGGGCCGGCGCTGCGCTTTTGCGGGGGGCTCGGTGTGGACAAGCCTCGGTCACTTGGTGGGTCTGACGTCTGTCTGAAACATGTCTGAGACACAGTGTTACCACGATCTGCGTAGACCGGGGTCAGCTGTTCGGATGTTCATGCGCCCTTTTGTTTGGGCCGAGTGTGCTCAGCATATTCATGTCAACGTGCTTCCAGGCTGCTTCCAAATAAGTAGGGCGAACCCCAAGAGGCTGCAGCTTCTGAAGAGAGGGTTCGTCCTAGAAACACATTGGCACCATTTGTTTGGGTCAGGTGTGCGGCAAAAATGACAATGTTGGCGCACCTGGAACGCCGGGCTGTTCACATGGAGCCGTGCACGTGGCCTTCACAAACTTCCTTGGTAAGCTTGCTCGGATTCGTTAGTTTCTCCACCTATTTTCCCATTCGCAACAAATTGCAACTGGTGACTTTGTGGAAAGGGCCGCGCGCGTTGTCAATCGGATGCGTGTGGATGGCAAGTTGGGTGGATTCGCCGCAGGTGTGTGGAGACGGGGCCGGCGCTGCGCTTTTGCGGGGGGCTCGGTGTGGACAAGCCTCGGTCACTTGGTGGGTCTGACGCCTGTCCGAAACAAGTCTGAGACACAGTGGAACCACGATCTGCGTAGACCGGGGTCAGCTGTTCGGATGTTCATGCGCCCTTTTGTTTGGGCCGAGTGTGCTCAGCATATTCATGTCAACGTGCTTCCAGACTGCTTCCAAATAAGTAGGGCGAACCCCAAGAGGCTACAGCTTCTGAAGAGAGGGTTTGTCCTAGAAACACATTGGCACGATTGTTCGGGTCAGGTAGCGCCGGGCTGTTCACATGGAGCCGGGCATGTCACGAGCGTCCACTGCGCCAGTCTCGCTCGCCGGCATGTCACGAACGTCCACCACGCCAGTCTCGCTCGCGGGCGGTTTCCGCATGTCACGAGCGTCCACCGCGCCAGTCTCGCTTGCGAGCGATTTCCGCATGTCACGAGCGTCCTCCGCGCCAGTGTCTCTCGCGGGCGGTTTCCGCATGTCACGAGCGTCCGCTGCGCCAGTCTCGCTCGCGGGCGGTTTCCGAATGTCACGAGCGTCCACCGCGCCAGTCTCGCTCGCGGGCGGTTTCCGCCTTTCACGAGTGTCCACCGCGCCACAGTCTTGCTCGCAGGCGGTTTCCGCATGTCACGAGCGTCCACCGCGCCAGTCTCGCTCGCGGGCGGTTTCCGCATGTCACGAGCGTCCACCGCGCCAGTCTCGCTCGCGGGCGGTTTCCGCATGTCACGTCCACCGCGCCAGTCTCGCTCACGGGCGGTTTCCGCATGTCACGAGCCTCCACCGCGCCGGTTTCCGCATGTCACGAGCGTCCCCCGCGCCAGTCTCGCTCGGGGGCGAGCGTCCAGTCTCGCTCGCCCATGTCACAAGCGTCCACCGCGCCAGTCTCGCTCGCGGGCGGTTTCCGCCTGTCACGAGCGTCCACCGCGCCAGTCTCGCTCGCGGGCGGTTTCCGCCTGTCACGAGCGTCCACCGCGCCAGTCTCGCTCGCGGGCGGTTTCCGCCTGTCACGAGCGTCCACCGCGCCAGTCTCGCGGTTTCCGCATGTCACAAGCGTCCACCGCGCCAGTCTCGCTCGCGGGCGGTTTCCGCATGTCACGAGCGTCCCCCGCGCCAGTCTCGCTTGCGAACGGTTTCCGCGTGTCACGAGCGTCCACCGCGCCAGTCTCGCTTGCGGGCGGTTTCCGCGTGTCACGAGCGTCCACCGCGCCAGTCTCGCTCGCGGGCGGTTTCCGCATGTCACGAGCCTCCACTGCGCCAGTCTCGCTCGCGGGCGCTTTCCGAATGTCACGAGCGTCCATCGCGCCAGTCTCGCTCGCAGGCGGTTTCCGCATGTCACAACGTCCACCGAGCCCGTCTCGCTCGCGGTTTCCGCATGTCACGAGCGTCCACCGCGCCAGTCTCGCTCGCGGGCGGTTTCCCCATGTCACGAGCGTCCACCGCGCCAGTCTCGCTCGCGGGCGGTTTCCGCCTGTCACGAGCGTCCGCCGCGCCAGTCTCGCTCGCGGGCGGTTTCCGCCTGTCACGAGTGTCCACCGCGCCAGTCCCGCTCGCGGGCGGTTTCCGCCTGTCACGAGCGTCCGCTGCGCCAGTCTCGCTCGTGGGCGGTTTCCGCGTGTCACGAGCGTCCACCGCGCCAGTCTCGCTCGCGGGCGGTTTCCGCATGTCACGAGCGTCCACCGCGCCAGTCTCGCTCGCGGGCGGTTTCCGCATGTCACGAGCGTCCACCGCGCCAGTCTCGCTCGCGGGCGGTTTCCGCATGTCACGAGCGTCCACCGCGCCAGTCTTGCTCGCGGGCGGTTTCCGCATGTCACGAGCGTCCACCGCGCCAGTCTCGCTCGCGGGCGGTTTCCGCATGTCACGAGCGTCCACCGCGCCAGTCTCGCTCGCGGGCGGTTTCCGCATGTCACGAGCGTCCACCGCGCCAGTCTCGCTCGCGGGCGGTTTCCGCCTGTCACGAGCGTCCACCGCGCCAGTCTCGCTCGCGGGCGGTTTCCGCATGTCACGAGCGTCCACCGCGCCAGTCTCGCTCGCGGGCGGTTTCCGCATGTCACGAGCGTCCACCGCGCCAGTCTCGCTCGCGGGCGGTTTCCGCATGTCACGAGCGTCCACCGCGCCAGTCTCGCTCGCGGGCGGTTTCCGCATGTCACGAGCGTCCACCGCGCCAGTCTCGCTCGGGGGCGGTTTCTGTCACGAGCGTCCTCTCGCGCCAGTCTCCACCGCTCGCTCGGGGGCGGTTTCCGCCTGTCACGAGCGTCCCCCGCGCCCGTCTCGCTCGGGGGCGGTTTCTGTCACGAGCGTCCCCGCGCCCGTCTCGCTCGGGGGCGGTTTCGGCCTGTCACGAGCGTCCCCCGCGCCCGTCTCGCTCGGGGGCGGTTTCCGCTGCCAGTCTCGCTCGCGGGCGGTTTCCGCTTGTCACGAGCGTCCACCGCGCCAGTCTCGCTCGAGGCGCCCACGAGCGTCCGCGCCCGTCTCGCTCGGGGGCGGTTTCCGCGTCCGAGCGTCCACCGCGCCAGTCTCGCTCGTTTCGGCCTGTCACGAGCGTCCCCCGCGCCCGTCTCGCTCGGGGGCGGTTTCGCCCTGTCACGAGCGTCCCCCGCGCCCGTCTCGCTCGGGGGCGGTTTCCGCTTGTCACGAGCGTCCACCGCGCCAGTCTCGCTCGCGGGCGGTTTCGCTGTCGCGAGCGTCCACCGCGCCAGTCTCGCTAAGGGCGGTTTCTGTCACGAGCGTCCACCGCGCCCGTCTCGCTCGGGGGCGGTTTCGGCCTGTCACGAGCGTCCCCCGCGCCCGTCTCGCTCGGGGGCGGTTTCCGCTTGTCACGAGCGTCCACCGCGCCAGTCTCGCTCGAGGGCGGTTTCCGCTTGTCACGAGCGTCCACCGCGCCCGTCTCGCTCGGTGGGGGTTTCGGCCTGTCACGAGCGTCCCCCGCGCCCGTCTCGCTCGGGGGCGGTTTCCGCTTGTCACGAGCGTCCACCGCGCCAGTCTCGCTCGAAGGCGGCTTCCGCCTGTCACGACATTCCACCGCGCCAGTCTCGCTCGAAGGCGTTTCCGCCTGTCACGAGCGTCCCCCGCGCCCGTCTTGCTCGGGCTCGGGGGCGGTTTCGGCCTGTCACGAGCGTCCCCCGCGCCCGTCTCGCTCGGGGGCGGTTCGAGCGTCCACCGCGCCAGTCTCGCTCGCGGGCGGTTTCCGCATGTCACGAGCGTGCACCGCGCCAGTCTCGCTCGGGGGCGGTTTACGGCCTGTCACGAGCGTCCCCCGTCTCGCTCGGGGGCGGTTTCGGCCTCTCACGAGCGTCCCCCGCGCCAGCCTCGCTCGCGGGCGGTTTCCGCCTGTCACGAGCGTCCACCGCGCCAGTCTCGCTCGGGGGCGGTTTCGGCCTGTCACGAGCGTCCCCCGCGCCAGTCTCGCTCTCGGGGGCGGTTTCGGCCTGTCACGAGCGTCCCCCGCGCCCGTCTCGCTCGGGGGCGGTTTCGGCCTGTCACGAGCGTCCCCCGCGCCCGTCTCGCTCGCGGGCGGTTTCGGCCTGTCACGAGCGTCCACCGCGCCAGTCTCGCTCGCGGGCGGTTTCCGCATGTCACGAGCGTCCACCGTGCCAGTCTCGCTCGGGGGCGGTTTCGGCCTGTCACGAGCGTCCCCCGGGCCCGTGTCGCTCGGGGGCGGTTTCGGCCTCTCACGAGCGTCCCCCGCGCCAGTCTCGCTCGCGGGCGGCTTCCGCATGTCACGAGCGTCCACCGCGCCAGTCTCGCTCGGGGGCGGTTTCGGCCTGTCACGAGCGTCCCCCGCGCCCGTCTCGCTCGGGGGCGGCTTCCGCGCCAGTCTCGCTGGGGGGCGGTTTCGGCCTGTCACGAGCGCCCCCCGCGCCCGTCTCGCTCGGGGGCGGCTTCCGCTTGTCACGAGCGTCCACCGCGCCAGTCTCGCGCACCCAGTCTGCACCACACCGCCTTCCCCCCAGCCAGCCTCGTACGCCCGGTCTGCACCCCCAGCCAGCATCGCACGCCCGGTCTGCAGCACAACGAAATGGAAATCCCTTCTTATCTCCGTCGTCACAGCTTGTATCGCTCCCAGGCACCTTAAGAGAAAACCTAAAGCAGAACCCAAGCATCAGAGATGCTTTTGGGAAAAATATTTGAGGACCTTTTGCTGGGGGCAGGTCCTCAAGATCGAGCAGCAGGCAGCAGTGCTGGATGAGGATCCGGTGCGGCAGCGCTACTCCGAGGACGACGGCTCCTATGCAGGACGACCAAAGGTGCCCTTGGCCGGCGCCCATGGCTTTTGCCCATCGAAGCGCCTTGGGAGATTTTTGTTTCCAATGAACACCCAGAGCTCCAGTGGGTGTTGCTCCGATGTACGCCTTTTTTGGGAAAGGGGCAGGTTTCCCAATTTTCAGAACCACTGCCGAAAAAAGGGGCGCCAACTTTTGCCCCATGGGCACTGGAGGTCTGGAAGGTTGCTCGAGAAAAGGGAGCCCAAGCACGCCAGAAATTCGCCGGTGCCTTCGCCGTAAAGGTTGGCCTTGAGTGATCACTCTGGGGTTGTAACGACCTCACGCGACCTCACCCCAAATGGTGGTTTCTGTGGGGAATAGCCCCCAAACCACCTTATCTCAGGTTGGTGACATATTATAACTTACCCAGAATGACTTGAAGGTGTTTTGTCATTTGCCTTCATAATACCTCTTGAACCTACTTGGCATAGGCACGCAAGAACGCGCAGAAGCAAGGCCAGGCACTGGCTGTGGTGTAATTGGCAGGGTATACGTGTACTTAGCACTGGGCAAATGGGCGGCGCATTCAACTCTTGCAACCACATCACGCATGGAGCAAGCGTGCGAACCAAGATAAATTCCTGCTATCCTGCTATCCTGCTATCCTTTTTCCACTCTCGACACTTGAGGCCGCCTGGAGTTTGGCTTGAGCGTTCGTTCAACCACAGTCCTACCAATTATATCAAGAGAACACACCGCCTACAACCAAACCCTAAACCCGCAGGCCTTTGGGGTCATTCAATTCAACTGCATTTCCTAGACACATGGAGCGCACGCACGCACGAGCGCACGCGCACACCCACCTCCACACCCTCCCACCCACCAGCCCACCCGCCCGCCCACCCACACCCACACCCACACCCACACCCACAGTCGCACCCCCCCACCAACCCCCCCCCCACCCACCCACTCCCAACTTAGTGACAAAGGAAGCGCAACAGCAACACAGTCGCTGTGCCGTAAACTTGAACTTGACAGGACAGAGCTTCCACTGGGACCCTTTTGTGCTCCTTGAGGACTGGGATTCGGCGAAGCTTTTGAAAGGCGGCCAGGGATGTTTTGGGCGAGGGGGCTTTTGAAACCCTTCTGTGTTTGCTTGGCTGGAAAGCAGGAAAAGAAGAGCGCAGGGTGTTCCCATGACCTTCAGGCAGCTAATTGGGTTCAAAAACAGTTCCGAGGGAAAAGTGGGGCATGTAGGCGGGTGGGCGGATTTTGCTGAAACTTCATTCACAAGGCCTTTTAGAATGATGACGCTTTTGTTGCAGGCCGGACTCTAGAGGGATGCAAATGGTTCGGGGATCGTGGTCCTGTTGCCACCTTTGGGAGCTCGCGTGTGCCAAGGGGAAATCTTCATGTTTCTCCCGAGTGCATAACGAAGGGCTCCCGTTGTTGAAAGATCTGGGTCAGGGCTTGTTTGCGAGACTTGTTGCGGCCGCAAGGGTGCGTTCGGAAGCGTGCGCAAGCGTCTTGAAGCCGGAATGTCTTTGGAAGTTGGCCCGGGGGGTTGTCGTGGTCGATGTCCTTGGGGTGTGTCTTTGGGGAAGGTGTTTGGGAGGTCTGCAGGGCGCACAGAGGCGTGGCCATCTTCAACAATGCAGCTGAGCGAGGACTCAGGGACTCAGACTCGTTGACCACGCAAAGGCCAGCAGCACTTCGGATGAGCGAGTTGAGTTGGTGAAGCGCGCGGTTTCTCCGGCGACACGGAAATGCTGACCTTTTTCAACAGATGAGCAACCAACATCTGGATGGCCGGAGCCATCTTGAGATTCTTCAGAAGTTGGTTCAAGGAGCTGGCCTTCCTGGCCATGGCGCGCGCAGAGATGTTGCTTCTTGCCACCTTTGGCTAATGTGCACGTGTGTTCGGCCGGAAGGATCCCGTGAGTGGCACCTCGTGGAAAGAGAAGTTTTGTCTTTTGTGTTTCTTTTCTTTGGGGGGGGGGATGTTTTTGCGTTTGCTTTTGGGAATATCGTTGGGGTGTCTGTAGCGACGTCTTTGCGGTTGTATTCGTTGGGGATGTCTTTGTGGTTGCCTTGTCAGGTCGATGTCCTTGGAGGTGACTTTGAGGGTGTCTTTGGAAGGTGCCTTGCAGGGATGTCTTTGGAAAACGTCTTGGATGTTTGTGGATGGCGCTTGTCTTGTCTTCGGCGCTGACTTCCAAGTGTCTCTGCGGGGTTTGTCTTTGGAAGGGGTCTTGCGGGGGCGGATATCTGCGGGGGTGTCTTTGCGTCTGTTCGGGGATATCTGTGGGTGTTTCTTGAGGGACGTTTTTTTCGGCCGTCTTAGGTGGCGTGTTGTTTGTCTTTGGGGGTTCTCCTGGGGATGCCTTTGCCTTTTGTTAGTCGATATTCTTGGGGGTGTCTGGAAGCTGTCTTCATGTCTTATGGGGGTGTCGGAGGTTGTTTTGTCGGTGGTTTTGGATGATTTAATCGGGGATGTCTTTGGGTGAGGGGGTGTCGTTGGTGGCATCTGTGTTTTCCGTTTCATTGCGTGCCCTTGTGAAGAGACCCGGGATGGAAGTTTGTGTGGGAAGCGTAAACAACATGGTCAACGACGACTTTGTGACCCTCACATGCTTTTCCATTTGGGCGGGTTTCGGAGGTTTAGAGGGGTTTGTTGTTCTTTTCTTCGTAGTTATAGTTGTTAATTTGTTGTTTTTATTCGTGGCCCAACTTTGTCCCTTTGTACTCTCTTCTAGTAGTGAGTGATCTCCAAGCGCCGCTTGTGTGTGTTGCACTTTTCAGATTTAAGCTGTTTTTTGAACAGTTGTATCATATTTGCCCTTTCCGAGTTTCCTTGCGGCGTGATATTAAAAGGGGGAGATGCAAGAAATCCTGTTCAAGCACCATCCACACACGGGAGGCTGGAGCTTATCGTAGGCCACCCATTTCAAGGCTGGGGTGTCTCAATGAGAAATATGCATTCTTGTTGGTCTCGTAAAAAGACGGTTGGGCCCATGTCCGAACACTGATTGCTCACCCAGCCCTGCCCCCATTCAGTTTCGCGCCAGGAGAGCCTGCGCAGCTTCCCCATCTTCTGCACAGTGGATGTCCCCCAAGTCGCCCTTCGCACCGCCGTGTTCGTGACCTTGCATGACGCGCAGCTTTGCCCAAGCGGAAAATCTGCACTCTGGAGCCTTTGAAAGGTGTCCCAACACTTTGACCCCTTGAACCTTTTTGGTCTCCCTGGTTTGGCCCATGTTTTGCCGCCCGAAATCATGTGTTTAGAGCCGCTTTCCCCGGGCTTTACAACAAAATGGGAGCCCTGGAGCCCTGACGCGATGGGGGTCTTCTTTTTTTGATGGCCCCTTGAGGTCTGGCCGGAAATCACTGCAGCCCCAGCCCTGCCAGTGTTTGACAAACCCTTGGGTTTGACCCAGTTTTTCCCACCAGCCGGTTCTTCCACCATTTTACCTTTTGGTTTATGGGTCCAAAAACCGGCTGGGGGTTCAGTTCAACAGGTCGGGGGTCACAAAAGCAACAGGGTTTTCTCCTCTTTTGGTTCGGCTGAGGCATCTCTTCGGAACCGGAGCCAGCGCGGCGGCTCATTTGCAGTGGAGGTGCGTTCTATGGTCGCTGGTCCACTGCTGCTCCCACTTTTGGAGCGCGCCAATGTTGCTTTGGGGATGCCCCAGGTGGGGTTGCTGAGGTTTTTGCTATGTCTGACTGGTCATGCTGGAGAGCGTGTTCTTTCTTTTTTTTGCGGATGCGCCAGGTGGGGGTGCGTTGAAGGACAGCCACACAGAGAAGCCCATGTTCAGGGTGCAAGTCCCAATTTTAAGACATGTCCGAGTAGTGCAAAGCAGACCCATGCTTGGGGTCGCCCTATTGCAAGACCCCAAAATAGCCAACAAACCCGATCGCCGATCGCGCTCGGGGAGTCAGAACTGGACTTGCGCCTTCTTCAATTTCTAAAAGTTGGAACCTTGCCAAATATCCACCCTCCAAACCACTAAAGAAGTTCGCTTGAAGAAAAGGACCATTGCTGTCTTAGGACCTGCGGTTAGGTTCTTTGTTGCTGCACATCATGCGATGTGACATGGAGAGCAAGCTACATTGACCAATGCACACGAGAGATTCACTTCGGCGGATGGCTGAGGACGTGCTGACATTTATCTTCGCATCGGCGTGCTCCTCAATTCTGTGCCTGGGCACGAGCCCACGGGACAGGGTAAATTTGGAAGGCAGACATTGGATCTGGGTGAATTATAGCGACCTCACACGACCTCACCCCAAATGGTGGTTTGTGTGGGGAATAGCCCCCCAACCACCTTATTTCAGGTTGGTCAATATTATAATTCACCCAGATTGGATTCCGTCGGCTCGCATTGCCGCGCAACTGGGATGAACGAAAATCAGAAAGGCCTCGTCCTCTGAGTCTTTTGAGGCGCGAAAGCCGCTTGCAAAGACCGCTTAGGATTGGTTTGATGCTTTGGGGCAACAGCACACGTGAAGCAGGACGCGCACACACACACACACACACACACACACACACACACACACACACACACACACACACACACACACACACACACACACACACACACACACACACACACACACACACACACACACACACACACACACACACACACACACACACACACACACACACACACACACACACACACACACACACACACACACACACACACACACACACACACACACACACACACACACACACACACACACACACACACACACACACACACACACACACACACACACACACACACATTGTTAATGTTGAAACGCATGTGGAAACATGAACTGTGTTTGCAATGCTTGACCATAATGGCGCATGCCATTTTGGCTCAAGCTTTGCCCTGGGTTCTTTGAACCCAAATTTGTGTGAAAAAGATTTGCGTTGGAACACCCCCGAACTAACCCCGATCAAGCAATGGCTTCCTCGGCAACCTCGGCAACCTCCTTCGAGCTGATTGAGGACCAGACGCTCACCGCGGAGGAGGTGGAAATGGCCAGCCAGGAGGCCCAGGAAATCCGCACACGCGAGGCGGCAGTGGCGGCCGGCCTGGTGTTGGACGAGCCCGAGGCCCCCCCGTCGGCTTCGGCTACCGACGTGATGAACGACCTCTCCAGTGCACTGGAGCGTCTCCGTGTGGCGTTTGCCACACCGACTTCCGGCTTGGGTGCCCCTGGCCCCGCCGAGGAGGAGGACAAGGACATGGAAGATGCGGACGCCACGGAGCGGGCTACTCCACCCACGAAGAGGCTGAAGGGTTTCGTGGCGGCTTCCCAGAAGACCACGGCTCATGTGAACAAACCGGTCTCCCTGGTGCCGGTGGAGGGCCGTCCCGGCTACTTCAAGTTAGTGGACCTCCCAGACCTTTTCCCGGTCCTTCCGGCATCGGCGGCCACGTTGCTGAGGGACGTCACGGTGGAGGAGGCGGTCTCCCTGTTCCACAAGTTTGTCGGGAAGAATCTCACGGAGGACTTGGTGATTCGCATCCTGGAGGCCTATGTTCCGATGAAGATCCAGATCCGGCAGGAGGAGGTCTGGGCCTCACAGTTCCAGAGGAACAAGGCGTGCATTGGCACCCAGCGGATGCACAGACTCGATGCAGGCCACTCAGATTACAAGTTCATGTGCAAGGCATGCGGCACGGGGTGGCCGGAGGCAGCCAAGCAATGCTGGGTCTGCCCGGGCAAGGAGTTCGTCCCCTTCCAGGCACCCTCGGCTACCTATGAGGCGGACGGCGTCACTACAACCTGCTCATTGTGGAGGGCAAGCCGACCTGGATCCAGCAGCGGAAAGGGGGAAGCCTGGGTGCCGCTGGCCCCGGTGGTACCCGGGCACAGGCAGACCGCAACCTGGTGGACGGCACGGTCCTGGGGAGAGCTCCTCCGAAAACGGACACGGCAGAGGAGATCACCATGGCAGACGTGGTCCCGCTTAACAGGCGGGTGGACATCCGGCAGGAGATCCTGTCCATGGAGGCGGACGACGAGGCGTTGAAGGTCCGGGAATGCCAGGAGATCAAGGTCAAAGTGCAGCGGTCCCTGAAGGAGGCGGAGGCGCAGAGCTTCCAGCTCTACCACCCCCAGGTGGACCAGGCGATCCGGAAGAAGGAGGAGCTGCATAAGGCCTTGAGGGAGTACCGGGAACCGACCCCGGAGGAGTCCTCGGCCAGGCGGCGGCACAAGGAGTTGGTCACGGAGGAGATGCTGGACAATGAGATGGCTATCCTGGCGCCTCTCCAGGAGGGCATGCAGGCCCTGCGGTCAGAGGAGGTGGCCAATGAGGGAGCCCGTGCCCTCAGGCCTGGAGCGATTCAAGGCCAAGCTGCGAGACCAGTACCTGGAGGGGAAGGGCGTTGACGCCAGCCAGGCACTGGCTGAGGCGATGGGCTCCATTCAGGAAGGAACAGGAGGCGAACAAGCGCACCCAGGACACCAACCAGGCATGGATGCTTGGAAGTGTCGGTGTGGCCAGATGATCTCAGGTAGGCACTGGAGAGGGGGCTATGGAGCTGGATGATCCCGAGGACATCCCCAACGTGGGAGAAGGAGAAGTATGTCCCTTACATCAGGAGGCTCAGAGAGTCGCAGAACCCATGGCACCAGGAGGCGCTGCTGGAGGAGATGCCCGATCTGGCGACACCGGCCCCCCGCAAGGGTGCCACTGGCCCCGGGAAGGACCAGCCAATGTCACAGCAGGACCTGGACTCGGAGGAGGGCAAGCTGTCCCTTCTCCTCTGGGCGATGAAGAGGCACCAAGGGGAGCTACGGATGTTTGGGGGGATCTGGAAGAAGCACTCAAGCGGTGAGATCCCCAAGGGCGCGGACCAGCAATTCAAGCTCACGCCGGAGGAGCTCCTGGCCCTGGAGCGCAGGACTCACCCACTCACGCGCGAGCAGGACCACATCGACCCAGTCATCTACACGGCCTTGGAGATCCGAGCGCAGGTGAACCGGGGCGAGCGCCCGGCGCCGGAGCAGGTGGTGGGGATCTTCTGGGCGAAAGGTGATGGAGTGTTTTGGACCAGGCAGACGAGAACGTGGGACCTGCCGAGCCTGACGGGGGTGTACGCCCACAGGTTCACTTTCAAGTACATCTACTCGGCCTGGACCACTTTCCCGCTGATCGTGAAGACGCAGCGCCGGGGCCGCAATGCGGAGGGCTCGACCTCGGACAAGTGGATGGGCAACATCCTCCAGATGAGGAAGGAGGCGGTGCCCTTCCTGGAGAGCCTGGGAATCCCCAAGCCGCGCAGCAAGGCGGAATGGAGCTACATCTTCAAGGAGATGGGGACGTTTCTGGCGGCCAAGAATTTCATCGTTAACTGCCCGTTGCCGGTGATGGAGATCCCAGTGGCCCCCGTCCACGACAGCAAGGAGGCGCTGCGTTTCAGGGCGGTCTGCGACGAGCGAATCACCCTTCCGTTGTCATCGCTGAGGGCTTTCGACTCGGTCTACACCAAGTTGGTGTCGGGCCTGAGCAAGTCCTCCATGGTGGAGGTGAAGGTCAACTGGCGTTGCAACGTGGTCCACGACTGGGTCGAGCAGGTCCCGCAGGAGGCGGCGGGGGCCTTGTACGACAGGTTGGGCTACTCCCAGGACCTCATCCGGCAGCTGGGTTGCTCCCCCCCCTTGGGTGCCTCTGGCCCCGGGGGAGGAGCGGCCAATGGGGGGGGGCGGACACCACGCTCCGCACACCGGACCAGGGCACCAGGCGGTACCCGCCCATCACCACGTCCACGGTCACGGCGGTCGCGGGCCGGAAGTACATCAACAAGCACTTCCCCAAGGAGACGAAGCACGTGTTTTGGGCCTCCGTGGAGTGCGGCTTGGTCTTGCCCAGCATCAGCGCCTAAGAAGTGGTGGGCAAGGAGAAGTTCAAGACCACCGGGGGCTACATGTGCAGGTTTTGCAAGGGCTTCTGGAGGGCGAGCCGCGGGGGGACCAGGCTGCTCCAGATCACGGGGTGGCACAAAGACAAGGCCACATGCTTGCAGCTGGTGATGGACGAGCCCCCGGAGCAGCTATATAATCAGTGGATCCGGGACAGGATGGAGTTCTACAAGAGGGTGGAGCCGACGGAGCCTCCCAGGGACGAGCGGCTAGTCCTGGGCGACGCGAGCACCCCGCGCATGCGCTTCAGCTCCTCGAATGGCCTGGGGGATGTCTCCACTGCCTTGTGGTCGGTCATTTTGAGCAACCCGGAGAAGTCAGGGCTGGCGGCCATCCACTCGGTGGCAAAGGAGGCGATCTTGAAGGGTGAGAGCCGCTAGGTCGTGTCTCACAACCCTTTTGGATGTGGAGTCGTGTGATCTCTTCCCACCGGGACTTGGGTGCCTCTGGCCCCGTCTCGGGTGGGGGGAGGAGTAAGGGTGTCTCCTTTTGTGTTCATCTTTCACCATGGTTTCCCCCCTGTTCAACACGTCACGACTGCCGGTTGCACGCTTTGGCTGCCCCAAGGACGGGCCATATCGGCCACAGTTTGGAGAAAGTGGCTGGCTGACTCTGGGTTCCCTGAGGTCCCCTTGGGGGTTTTGGGGAATCCCCCATCGGGTTGGTCTTCCCCCCTCCGTGGTTTTTTGGTGGATTTCCGGGGGTTGACTTTTGGGTCCTGTTGGGCTGCATGTGGCCTGCCTGCCCCATTTGCACTCGGCATCCTGCGGGGTTGGAACATGCATGCAGTGTGCCGCGGTTGGGTCCCGGCCGTTCGATAGGAGGCTCGAACCCCCGTTTTCATCATGGCTAGGGTCTCTACAAAGTTTCTTTTGCGCCCGCCTTACACTCGTCTTTGGGACCGCATTTGAAGGGTCCTGTGGGACACGTTGGCGGATGAGTCCTTCTCCCCGAGACAGACGGACGGGGAGCTGCTGGTCCTGATGTGCCTGCGCCATGGCACGGCGGAGGAGGGGAGGCAGCTGGGCGGGGAGCCGGCCATCCGCTTCGCCCAGCTCCTGGAACTTTCGGGCATTCCGGTAGGCCAAGACGACCAAGTGGTACCGACGGACTACTTCAACGGCCTGGTGGCGTCGGCGGCGGGCAGGCTTCCCCAGCCTCTGTCCGCGGCGGACCTGGCCGACCTTTGGGATAGCCTGTGGTTCCTCCTCATGGCGGCTGCGGATGGCAAGCCGAGCGAGAACTTTTCCCCGCTGGAGAATGAATGG